GGCAGTAAAAGCTACTGCCACCTAGCAGTCGGAGTTTGAATTGCACCACACTGAAGAAAAAAGCCTAACGATTCAGTATCATAAAATCTCCGACCTGCAGATATCATTTCTGTCTAATAATTAACTCTAATTTACCCTGAAAAGCTCTGTCTAGAACTATTCAAATCCTTATTTATTTTAGTTTTTCATTACCTTAACAAATACCATTTTAAAAGCAGAAGCTTCCACTTAGAAGATATGCTGTTACTAATGAGAAGGCGAGGACACATATCTAAAAATAAACTTTTTAAATTGTCTAATATTGCTGAAAGTTGGCAGTCAACTTGGTGATGCATCTCTAGTTTAAATTGTTTTAGTCATCATGTTAATGCAGGAGAAGTTGTATTTCTTACAACCTAAATGTTTGACAGTTAAAAAAAGATCTGGAGTGGGCGCTGTCATGAGTAATATCCACACCTTCCTGTCACAACAACATACCAGCAAGTTAAATATAATCTAAAAGTGTACAGCACTCTTGGATTCATCTGTAAACCCATGTGTGATCACAACAATCAGATGAGTGTTTTCACTGGAATCGCAGCGGTCATCTTCACCTGCAGCTGGATTAGATTACTATGACAACCATCTAGATTTACTGGATTTGTGTCCCATTAAATGTCATTACACGTTGTTTAGTCTGAGAATGGAAAACTTCAGGAAACACAGAAGATGATTGTCAAATTGATAACTTTGCCACTGAAGCCCGGGTCAGTAGTACTTTCGTGGAAACGTTTCGGCTCACATAAACTAGCTAAAGACGACAGTTCGGCTAATTATCGTCGCTCATTCCTGATGCATGTAGCCCTTCGTTTAAAAAAAAAAAAAAAAGAATAAAGCACTCGCCGTGTTCCAGGATAATTTAGCCGAGCCGGACACTTGTTCTGAACGCGGTAGTAACAGTTCTCGACCTCCTGAATGAAGAGAAAACGCTCCTACTAGCATCGCTTTTTTATTGTGCGGTAATGACTGCTCGCACGCGCCGCTTTTAATGTTGTGTTCGCGGCGAGAGAACTTACCTAAATCATCCATGTTGGCCGGAAATGGTTCCAATGACTGAGAACCGGACTGGTCCCTCACTCTTTAATGGTCGCAGCTGGACAGGAAAGCTCCTTTACTTCCCAAAAAAAAAATCTCCTCAAAGAGATGTCTCTCGAATGATGTTGTGAAGTTTTTAAGTCCCCCAGCAGCTCATGAGTCTCCCAACACACTCACAAACACGCACGCACACGGCCAGCTGCACCCCCAGCAGCAGGATTCGGTCCATCCCCCCCCCCCCCCCCCAGCCCAAGAGACACAGCACGCGGGAGCTAGCGGCATCTAGCGGTGGAGACTGATACTGCACAAGACAACCACCAGCCCTGAAGAGGAAATGCCCCCAACCTGCTACTTGTACCTGCTGTAAAATATACCCCTAAACATTTAGAAATTTTATCTGTGTCAATAATTTCCCCTGTAATTAATAATTTGTGTTGTAGTTTATACAGGAGATGGATAGTTCTTCTTCTTTTCTTCTCCATCATCAAGAGCTGCAAGGTGTGTGCTGGTAACAGGTACATAAGATGTTGGCATCTGACTGGCACCTAATTACAACTTTAATGTAGTGAGAGCTCAGAGTGAAATTCTGTGATTAAATGTCTTCAGAATTTGGGACCCAGCTCCGTCCTCCAGGATAACAACAATTCCACTTAGAATCAGGATCATCACAGAGTACCGCCAACAGAGAGAATGAGAAGGCCCAGTGTGAGTCCAGAGCTCAACTCCTGGAGAACGGAGGATCAGCTCATTGTGAGGTGCCTTCAGTAAAAAGGAATTGTGCACAATCAGCTGCATGAGTCCTTCTTCAAAAATGTTTGTCACTGGAAGTATGTGTGTGTTTGTCTCTCGGATATTTTAAATGGTAAATGGTAAATGTCCTGTATTTGATATAGTGCCTTCTAGAGTCCTGGAACCCCCCAAGGCACTTTACAATACTATCAGTCATTCACCCATTCACACACACATTCACACACTGGTGGGGATGAGCTACAATGTAGCCACAGCTGCCCTGGGGCACACTGAGAGAGGCGAGGCTGCAGAGCACTTGGCGCCACCGGTCCCTCTGACCACCACCAGCAGCCAACGTGGGTTAAGTGTCTTGCCCAAGGACACAATGACAGCGACAGACTGGGTGGGGCTCGAACCTTTTAGAAGTAGTATGATTGCTTTTAAGGCAGTTCAGCTTTTTTCTCAGTCCACAGACTATTCATAAGCACTAATTCACACTAGAAATAAAACATCTTAATCTTAATGATGAGGTTTTTACTTCTTGGATCATAATTTTCAATTTAATCAGAAATGACAAAAGCTAAGCATAATATGTATTTCCAGATTATGGTGCTAATAAAATCAGAAATTGGTTTTGATAAAAAAATAAAATAATAAAATGTATTGGTGGCACATTCCCACCATCCTACATAGATACATGCATGAGTTTGCAGCACAGGTGCATAAACAGCCACATGGTGGCAGTAGCTCTATCAAAAAGTGACCAGCCGTGTCAGGACTCTCATTATTAGGACAAAATGATTGTAACATCTTTCTGCATTGGAGAAAAAAATAAAATCACAAACAAGATGAAAAAAAATTCTGATCATATCTGATGGTAGAAACAGTTGAGATGAGATTCAATGAAACCACATGTGTTGAGGAGAAACATGGAGGAGTTATTCTGTCTTCATTTAGGAAGGTTAAATGTACAAAACACACACACACACACACACACACACACACATGGCAAACGTACATAAAACTTTCCCCATTCATAAATGTTGTTTTACACATTTACCTCTATGCTCATTGCCAGTGATGAAAGTGACGTGCTTGTCATTTTGGTGGAGGTTGCACTCCCAGGGACTTTTGGCCCTAATGGCCATCCGTTGGTAAAGTCTTACTCGAACACAAACATATTGCTTGCTTTCAATGTTTAAGGTACGTACTGCCCCCTGTCGTCAAGGAAAATACACACCATCACTTTAATGAATGCTCTAAAAAGGATTTTCAAAGTTTCTTTTTAGATTATGAGCAAGAAAAACAGATGATGTGAGGCACTCTCAGGTGTAATGAATCAAAAGGGTCAATTTTCACCATCGAATTGACACAGTAACCTTTCATACGTGCCAGAGCTGCAAAGTCATGGTTACGCCAGCTGGAGGATCCAGACGCACAGATCAAACTCATTGTTCTTCAACGCAGACATAAATAAACTGTCAAGGTCTCCTGCAAAAGCCGTATCTCTCTGCTAAAAGTCAGACTGCTGGATTCCTCACTTGAAATAAAAGTGAATCCACACAAACCCTACAAGGCTTTACAACTTATGGGTTAAATAATCATATGTGATGAATGAACAAGATGTTTAAATCAAATGTTTGAATGACCTTTGCTTAAATCAATGAATTTGAAATGAATATTGTTCTTACAATGATCCATTTATGTCACAAATCACTATGTGTTTGATTTAACAAGTTAATCATTGTAATGTGTATGAGTGTAAACAAAAACATGCATATTAAGGTTAAAAACATTTTTGTATCCGAAGGAAGGCGTGGCTTTCTGAGGAATGTTTTGGTAAAGCCTTCCAGACACGGCACATTCTGATTTACCAGAATGGCCGGAAATCATGGCAAAGTAGTTTAATAAAACAGGAATTACTTCCCGAGTAATTCAGTTTCTAGCGGCGTTCCGAATCGGCCAATTCAACGAGCATTCTTGAGACATCTCTTTTGACATAGAGTCAAAACCTGTAAGCACGCTGCAAGCTGACGCAGCCAGACGGCTCCTTAAGAGCCACATCCACTTGGGATGCAGACAAGCATTCCAGCCATTGTTGTGACCTGAAGACATTTCAAGACTGGACGGGTCGTATCGAAGTTAATCTACTGGCTTCAGGTGCCGTGAAGCCCACCCAACTTTTGACAGTCCAGATCTGCTGGGAGTCTCCACCAGGTTTTGTAGACACAACAGATTGTGTCTGATGCTGTTTCATTAACAATCAACTCTCTATTTTATGGCAGACAACAAAGTCTTTTACACCCAGATTTCACAATTTCTTTCAGATACAAGATTCTGATAAACATCTAACTTACATCACACCACCTACACATCACATCCCATCACCGCATATCCACTCCATCACATCTCATTATTCATATCTTGTCATGTATAATCATTAGTTTAGAAAAGAATAAAATTCCTTTTTAACTAGATACTTGACTTTGTCTGAATTAATACGAAGTGTGTTTATGGTCCCTGAACAAGTAAAAGTAACAATAATCTTCTGATTGAACATTCAAAGATCAATCAGATTGATATTTCATATTTATATGGAATCATCACATCTTATTGGTCATAATTAATTTGCAGTCGTCACGCTATAAAGTGTGACAGCTACACAGGATTGTATTTTATTGAGCAAGAAAAAGCGGATGCGTTTCAGTCGCGTACGACCTTCGCCAGGACATAAACCCATGAATAAATTTATTTTTATTTACCAGTTTTGAATATTTAATACTTGGTAAGTTTACGGATTTGTTTGATTAAGTTAAATGAGATTTTAACACTGAGCAGTCCTAAATTAGGATTTAACAGTTGGTTAAATTCAGTGTTCAAAAACCAATTCAGCTTCTGAAACTTAGTGCATCTGCTGATGTTATCTGTGACATTTTAGCATGAAAATAAGGTGGAAAACGTCTAGACGTCGTCCATGAAAATTGGCCCAAAATTATCAGCAGCACAAATCAGCCGTCAGCTGATCATGACCTTTACATGTCGGCATCAGTAAAAGGAAAAAACAATATCTGTCGACCTCTAATTCAGAAGTCTACCATTTAAGTGTTCACTTGATTGAAACCTGAAATGAAAACAAGCTTTCATATGTTTAAAAAGTAAATATCATATAAACTTGAGCCTCAAAAGCAGGCTGCAGCTCCATTTAAAAATGTTTATTAGACAGACTTACAAAATTTTAACAAGAAGACATGACGAAAGTAATTTCTGATGTAAAAAATTATGAGAAGAATAATCTAGTCTCAAGTGAAGGTGAAACAGAAAGGGAAAAACTCTTAAATGTCCATTTTATGGCCTTGAAAAGAAAAATCTGGATTCCTTTGAAATCCACTGTAGAAAGACTAGGAATCCAGCATGAGTTAATGATGGCTGGTTTCTCTTTCACGGATCTCCTTCTAGAGGCAGACGTTCTTTTTAACAAGCACACGAAGCAAAATCATGTTTACTCTTGGTCCTTTTCCTCTCCGTGAGTAATGATATGAACCAGATTCTTGTAGTCCAGATTTCCTGCCACATCAGGGGGGAAGGCAGTGAACATCTGCTCCATCTAGTCAACAAAAAAGGCAAGAACACCACACAACTCAGTCTGTATAAAGGGGTGGGATGATTCATTGTTTGCGTTCCTGTTTCTCTTCTTTTTCCACACGAAATTGTGTCTGACATGGAAGCATTCGGTCGTCACGATGACATTCATGTTTGTGTTTTTCAGGTTCACCCACATGCACAAAGCCATCTGCAATAATAGTGATAATTAGTGTAAAAACAGGACACAGTACCTCTTCAGCTGAGAATCGGTCGGCTTGCGTCGTTAGCATCTGTGTCACACTAGAAAGGGAGGAAAGAAGAAAAACGCATTTGAGCAGGAAACAATTATTTTGTTGGAGAGTTGCACTGAGGTGAACAACAGCAGTCACAGCTTTCTATGGAAAGCTCACGCACACTTCCGCCTAAAATGGATTTGCATATTCCAGATGCATACTTACTAATCCTTCTTCAGCACACCCTTCCCTTCAGGGTCAAAGACTTTAAACGCGTTGAGGATGGTCTCCTCTGGATCAGCACCTGTAAGCATTAATCAGAATGTCGCCTTGATGCTCATTTACATTGCTTCGTTGTAGCTTTTATGGGTGAATACAGCAGTCAGCTGATGAGGTCCTACCTTTCAGCTTCTCACCAAACATAGTGAGGAATACGGTAAAGTTGATCGGACCAGGAGCCTCATTGAGCATTTCATCAATCTCTTCCTGTTTCACATTCAGACGTCCTGTGGCACCGGACATGCAGCACACACACGACAAACATGAGAAGTATGGATTTAGATTATGCCTCAAAGACCACAGGACATCAGAACAGTGGATGAAAACACACCGAGAGCTGCAAAAGTGTCCCTCAGATCGTTCTTGTCAATGAAGCCATCTCTGTTCTGGTCCATGATGGTAAAGGCCTGAGATCAGAGCAAAGCTGTTCTGGTCACACAATGATATAAGAGCACTGTCCATTGCGCTCTTGATTTAAATTCTCTTTTCTGTCTCATGTTGATAGATTAAGTATTTTTAACTTCGGATTTGGTCTGGCATCCCAAGCACGCCCAGCAGTTCATTTGTGGTCTAATCACTGATGACACTGTTTGAATGTCTGGGCACCAGCAACCTTCATTCCAACATACCACAAACCTCACTGTTGTCGAGCCAGCAGCATGAAAATAGACAGGTGGACATACTGTAGCGATGAACAATGGAAAGGAGACAAGGACAGAAAGTAGCTGGGTACCTTAAAAGTGTACCTTGTGTTATAAACCACTATACTTCAGTCAGTCTTCAGAGTGGTGAGTTTCATTATTTATTAACCATTTGAGCCAAATAGGAAACAGTAGAAAACAAAACTCAACAGTTCATCACATCTCACCTCTTTAAATTCCTGAATCTGGGCCTGCTCAAACATGGAGAACACATTAGAGTTGGCTCCCTCTGCTGTCCTCCTCTTGGCTTTCTTAGGGGCCTTTACACATAAATCAAAGATGATGAGACACAAACTAGAAAACAGTACAGTTAAAACTCTATGTAGGGGAAAACAAAGCAGCTTCATAAGCAAAAATGAAATAAAAGACAAAACAGACAAATGTAGTTTCTAACTTTTGTTTGCAAGGATGGTGTTATGAGTTATTCACATGCAAATGAGAGAGCACGACTTCAGTCAGCTGTCTAAATGAAAGATAGCATCTTTAAAGCTGAGAAAACACACCTGTTGTTGATCCAGGCCAAATCAAACACACACACACCAACTTACCATGGCTGTGCAGCTGGGATGTCAGAACAGTGATGCCAGTGAACAATGGAGGAGATTGAGGGTGGCCTTTTGTAGCTCCCCAGCTACAACTCCACTGGATGATATTTATAAACTATGTCCTCTTTAGGAAGTGACAGGTAAATGATGCTTCATAAAGTACTTATAGTACTAGATGCTTATGAAAGAAAACAATTATGACCCCCCACACACACCTCTGCAGCATCGGTCTCCTCATGTTGAAACCGATGTTGGACGAGAGTGGAATAACCAGTGGAGGACACCAAGAACAGGCTGAAGGTTAAAGGGATCCATCGTCACAATTATATAGTTGTTTCTACAGTTTAAACTGGTTTTAAATGTTTAATAAACTATTAACTTTACAAGAGAAGTAGAAGTTAGTTATGTGTGTTTATAATGTTGCAATAAATAAAAACACCATATTCTGTCATTTGTCCGATTGTACACATTTTATGCACAGTTGGACTTTGCAATACTGAAATTCAGAACATTACATTCATGAACTTTAGAAGAGTCATGCAAGCCGCATTTTTAAGTATCCACAACCTGATAAAAGCAACTCAAGGGATCCTGCACAGAAAACTTCTATGGTAGATAAAGTGTTGGAGGAAAATATGTTTTATTTTGTAAGATCTGAAGTAATGAAGTAACAACCTCTTGATATTATGAACTCTTAGCACTACCATCAAAAGAAATTCCTAAATTTATATTCTAATCCACGAACCATCATCATTTCAAGCTCCCATCTGATAAATAGGATGAGAGTGCTTGAAAATCAGCAGTTTATTAGGTGTAATTTAGTGACTTGTCAGGACCGAGTCGGAGCCAAACGTACTCGCATTTCTCATCAGCTTTTCCAAATCACTGGTGTGGGCTAACCTTTCCCTCACATTATAGCCTGACACCATTACACGGCCCGGATTTGATATTTTAAATGTAAAATCATACACCAGCGGGACGTATTCAAACAAGGGAATTTATGTTTACGTGTTCCCACTGCTTAGAGATTTGAAACAAAGCTTACGGATGTCAGCAGCAGCGAGGTGAGACATACTAAAGTGCAACTCTGTTGACCCTGAACACATCCTCACAATGTGTCATGTCTCAGTGCTCCATTAACAAGTCATCCGGTGACACTTCAAATTCACTTGGTTAAGACAAGCGTCAGTGTGTGAAGATGAGCGAAAAGGGCCGAGGGTAGGTGGTGAGGCCACAGGCGTGTGTTCTATAGAGGGATGCAGAGAGTTGCCTCACCGTAAAACACAATGCTGCCGATGAACAGCAGTTGCTATTGGTGTCATCTCACAGCACAGCGCATACGACGAGGTCAGAATTAGACAAGTTATTGTTGACCAGAGAGACAGACGGTGTTAAAACTTCTTCTTCGGCCCCTCGCGGATGTGTGCAGCTGCTGCAGCTACTGTAGCTGAAATGGCAGGCTTTTGTCACACTGGCTGGGCTCAAACACCTAAAAATAGACCAGCCTTTTATAATACAATGGACATGGACAAAGTGCCATTTCACTGGCAGTCTAAAAAGAGTCTGAAAGTAGGAGGGATGACAGGAGAGGTGGAAAAGCTTTAAATACAACCAGGGAATAAGGATGAGTTTAAGTCACTTTAAATAAAATACGATTTTTCTCCAATAGTTCTGTGGTCGATACAAAACATGTCCAGTTATTTGCTAAATCCCTCTCACATGAAGCGACGTCAGCAGTTTTATTCTCAACAGTCTCAGTACTTTCCAGAAGGCTCTGTCACGCCCACCAATGCCCCACCAGGGTGCTAGCAGCAGCCCCCTCTTGCATGTGATAGGTGGTTCTAATGCTAATTTCCCCATTTGTTGTCACAAATGGAGACCTTTAGAAATAATTTTTTAGGCATGATTCCAAAATCAAACAGAAAAAGGATGGAGAGATTTTTTTTATGTTCGTCATGTTTATAGAGGCCCACATGGCAGCACAAAAGGATGCAAACGGTGAGTTTTGCATTATACGTCCCCTTTAAATTCATTTATAGAAAGTAAACAGAAGCAAAACACAAAGACACAATTTATAAGTGAAAGACAGTGATTATAATATTTAATATTCTGTGACAAAATCTCTACAGGGAACGGTAATTAAACATTTGTTAGCAGACATCAATATCATATCCAGCATAAGAGCATCATGGTTATGTAAAGCATAAAGACATTCTAAAAAATGGAAATAAAACCAAGTAAGATGGATAAAACCCTTTTGTACAGAGTCCTATAGAAACAGCGGAGAGTGTGTGCGGCCATTTATTGTGTTTTTAAAAAGGTTTTATTAAACCAGTAATCAGCTCTGTCTACATGACTAATACATTCAGGAAGGCATTAACGTCCAACATCATTTCTCTGAATTGGAGAAACGTCTGTTGACAGATGGGTTGGGTAAGTTAGAGCGAGACATCAGAAAATATATAGTTTGATCACAAAAAAATAAAGACCTGAAATTTCATCTCAGATTAAAAAATTAGGATGGATTTGGTCAAATCGAGAGCCAATAAAAGAAAGAGGAGATTTAGTAATTATTGTCACATAAATTCACTCAGCAAATGGTTTTCATTCACGTGATTTGTTGTTCTCCTGTGCAATTAAAATATAACCCAATCAGGCAGAAGACAACACTTTGCTTCATTTCAGATATACAAATCCATGCTGATTTAATGATTCAGGTATTTTCATCTTCATCTTTAACATCTTCAGGTTATATACAACAGTAAGGGACACTGTACAAAAAGAAATGCCCAAACACGATGTAGTAAACTTCAAACGTGATCTCCCTTTTCTCCATTCCTTCATATAGTTCAGCACTGAGGTTTTTGCCTTTAGACAAACGGGTGTGCGTAAACAAGTTAGATCCAGATACACTCACTCACATGGTCAAGACGCGTGGACGTGTTAAAAGAATACTCATCGGACATTCAAGAGGACACTTTATCACTTTGTTGTTTAACAAAAATAGACAGGGCTTTTCCAGCCTTGAAATTCCCTCTCAGTTTATATATAAAATTATGTTTCGTCTATTTACACTTAGATTGTGTTCTGAAGGATTAGAAAGGTTGCTGCTCCATTGCTGCTGGGGATTGTGGGTAGTGCACTTTTTGTATCAGACAGGGATCTTTGCGTGTGGTTCTGTAGGACGGCTCGTCAAAGGCGGAGTTATTGATCATTTTTACTCCACATATTTGTTCTCCAGTCCCATCAGCTACTGAGAGACTGAGCTGGAGATGATTGTAACAAGCCAATGGTGATTGGGTTGACATGCCGCCACGGGGCTGGAGACAGAGGTGACCAGCTACACATCTGCCCTGAGCTGCAGCTACTGTGGACAGAGTTGTTTATGAAACAGAGCCAGCTTTTTTAAAAATGTATTATTAATGCCATTTTTGGTCAGCCTCCATTACTTTGTAAATATTTAGGCATGAAAAAAAAAGTTTTTATGGCTGTGCTTTTCTCTTCTAGTGTCTACTTTCTCAAGGAAACTGAAGCTAGCAAAACCCATCAAGCTCAGTCTTAACTTGAAAACGCATCTCAGATTTTTCTGGTCGAAGAAGAAATTTGATCTAATTGTTGATCCCCACTTAGGGCAGAGAAGACAACCCTGCTCAGGGGGTTAAAATGACAGTTAGCTGATCTTTGCTTTCTTGAGCTTGCTTTATTATCGGACACTACAGTTGGGTTTCTGAGTGGATCTTTAAGTTTAGACAGAACAGATGTGGCAGTGTTTCATCATGAGTTGGTAACATTCTCACTTTTCCTCTGTTTCTCTTTGCAAAGATGGATTTCTCTGTCTGTGATGGTTGTGTAGCTCTGTGATCCCCTAAACAGATGACTGGTCCCACACCTGCAAGATAAAAGCAACAACATAGCTTCAACTATTTTTACATTACACATTCCCCCCTGGATCCAAGAATTCCCTGGACAGATTATACGTCCGTGCTAAACTAGAAACCCTTCCTGATCCTCCAGAGACAACTGAGGTGCCACTGAGAAGCGGGATGTCTGGGTTTCTCTCCTAGACCTGCTGCCTCTGTGAACCAGGTTTGCATAAGCTAGCAAACATGGATGGGTGGCTGAGTGGACTGATTTAGGAAAACAGAATTTGGAATGCTCTCATCCTGACGAATGAAAAATATACTGCAAAATCTAAAAGCATCAAAGGGAATTTATCTGTTTCAAAGATCTCTGGCAATAGTTGCTAAGATATTTCACTTCCAACAGGAAACAATGCTGATGGAGCTACAGGACTCATTAAGGCTGCAGAAAAAAACAAATTAACCCTCTAGATACCAAATAACAGAATATAAAACAAATAATAAACATACTGGGAGTGCTTATTTACCAGTCACGTATCTATGAACAAACCTTGTTAACAGGGTTTATAGGTGTGCGTCCAGAGCCAGTGTGAAGTCTTTGTCGCTCCTCGAATCGTCCAGGAGATCTCTCCCTACGCATGTCCATCATTCGGCCTGGGGAGCGGTCCATGCGGGGATCTGCCATTGCCCTCCCTGGAGACCAGTCTAACCGGGGGTCGGCCATGGCCCTGCCTGGAGAACCCACGATCCGGCTCTCCAGCATTCTACCTGGAGACTTCTCTCTTTCTAATGGACGGCTGGGGGACTTGTCCCGCCGAAACTCGGTGCGAGCCTCTCTGTAGCGGTGAGGTGTGCCGGGGTCCCCGTGGACTAGAGGATTGGAGGCAAGCCTCTTCGAGATGTGCTCATTGTAGGAGGGGGGCCCCCGCTTGTTGGGACTGTAGAGAGGAACCCAGGAATAAAGATGTGGAGGCAGCATCGGTTAAAGGAAACGCTCACGTGTGCCTCAGGCTGTGGGCTTTGCTAGGCTCTGTGGAAATAAGCTTGCTTGTAGAATGGAGGTTGAGTGACTGACTTAAATAGGCTAAACCAATTAGTTATCAAATACTTTGTTACCTGTGATTAGAAGTGACTAAATCCATCAACTCTACTTAGTTTGCTAAATGAGGCTAGAGTTGATGGTTGACAACGGTAACAAAAGTATAAATAAAGCTCCATTGCCGTTTTAAATTGCAGCACACCAGTTCAGGACAGATAAGATCTTTATTTACCAGGTGAGCTTTCTAAACTTCACAAGAAGAATCCAAAATATAATAAAACAAACAAGTAAAAAAAACAAAACAATCCTAATGTTTGTTACAGGTAAAAAACAAACCCTTCCGCCTGGAAGAAAGAAAAAATTAAGTGTTACTTTTTGTTTAATAAAATGTCGATGGTGTCACCATACCCCGTGGACACCAGCCTGCGCCCTTCTACGCCAGCTAAGCCCACAGAACTGTCAACACCAGTGGCCATAAAACAGAAAAGCACGATGGGAAATCTTCCACTATAGTTCACCTAAAAATCATCTAATAGTTGCTCAGTTCATCTAAGAAATAGAAAAATAAACTCATGATTGGGAAAAAGTAAACACTTCTTAGTTTTTAGTGCCATGGACAGATTTGGGTAAAATACACCAGAAGAATTCTCATCTCAGAAGGTTTAGTGTTTTGCAGATAGCGTGTTAAATAAAACAACAAAAGGTAAAGGAGGTCTTCTCACCTGCGTCCTGACCCATTACGCTGCAGATCCCCTCCACCTTCTTGACTCTGCACCAAATTGCCTTTGCAGCAAATGACCCGCAGTTTGTTCTGGTAGGAAGAGGCCAAATAGATGGCCCCAGAGGAGATGGCTGGGCCAAGGTAGCGTGGGTTTGGAATATCCAAGTGTGCGTACGAGTGTGGCCTAGAAAGAGGGGAATAATTACTTGGCTACAGAATAAAGCAAGACTTAAATTAGGTAACATTATTCAGGGTGCTTGGGCCGCAGCCCAGTGAAGAATCTCACCCGAGAGCAGAATGCCCCTGAATCTCAATAACATCGAGAGAGTTGAAGTAAGTCACAAACAGGTAGGGCTCCCTGTAGGCTGGAACACCAACATGTCACTAAATTTCATTCACGTTGCCTTTAGAGAACTCGGTGAGAGTTAAACAGTCAGCTGGTTAACACTAACCAAATGAGAGAGGCAGACGGCTCCATTTGATGTCATCTGTTCTACTCCTGCGACCGTACGCGTCCACAAACACACCAAACTCTGCACGACAAAGTCCTAGAGTTACGTTTTGCCGCCTCCCCGTCTAGAGTTCAGGTTTGTAAGAATTATACTCTTCACACATAGTCAAACAAAGGAAAGCCCAACCGTGGAAACAGAGCAGGTATTCATCCTTCTGCGGGGCTGTGGTGACTTGGATAATGGAGATAGGGAAGCTGTGCGAGGACGCGGCAAAGACGGCAGAAGCTAACGTCACATCGTTTTTATCCAGGAACTCTGTGGAACCAAGTAGTTAAGAGTCACTCAGCTCGGTCTTCCTCTGGTAGTCATTAGTCACTGTGTTGGTTTAAATGTAATGACCCACCTTCCAGCACGTACTGCTTCATCTCAATCTCATAGAACTTGTTGGTGCCAATAATGATGCTGTAGCCAGTGAAGTGAATACAGCTGCAGGGCTCGGACGTCTCAATCTCCTGAAAAACAGAAACGAAAGTCAGCTGAGCGGCTTCTTACTAAAGCAAAGCAGTGCATTCTACCACATCATCTGTCAGCTATCCATCTCTAAGGTTCATTTTACCTTCCTGATGCAGAACTTGTTAAGGCTTTCATTATATCGCAGAATAGTAATCTTGTTGGGCATGGCAGCACAGATACAGATCCCGTTATCAATCTGTGAAGGTAAAAACAACTCCGGTTGGAACAGCAGTCGAATATCTGTTAGTGCTGCAAGGTTCAGCTAATTAGCTGTGACTGAGAGACAATCTGGAAGAAGTTTGTTCTGTTTGAGTAACAACCTGACTCACCTTTCCAGAGGAGAAGAGGTGGCATCCCTTTACTGTCTCAAAGATGAAGGGATTGAGATCCGGCTGAGCTGGGAGATGGGACTGTGATAAAGACTGTTTCACCTTCTTGATCTCCACCAAACACAAAGCCCTCTCCTCCCCTGAATAAACCATCAACCGTAACATGAGACACACATAATCACCTCATTTTACTTGTGCACTCATCTCCATCTGCACTATGCAGGTTCTTAATAACGAAACTGTCTGGTAAACTGTATTTTGACATTACAGTGCTGTGATTTCTTCCCGTTTTTGCTTTTGTTGGATCACAATCTTAGATCAACAAACATATGCCAACATTAGATAAATATAACTTAAGTAAATAAATACAAAATACATTTCCCATATGTTAAGAAACATCAAATCATCCTGGCTCTTTGGGGAAATGTAATTCACCCCTAAGCCAGACTGGGGTGGGGGTGGGGGGACACACAGCAATCAAACATTTGCTCTAAATGGGAACAAGTGCCTCACACCTGCGATGAGGAACTTAAACTCTTCTTCACTGAGCTGTTTTATTTCTAATGACACGGGGGATTTTCCAACATCAGCGACCCGTTTAAGGGCATTGTCATTCCTGGAACGATTACTTTTCACATAGGGTCAGGTTGTTTTGGAAAGGGTTAAAATCATTTTAAGATAAATAAATTAGCCAATAGTTATGATGCACTTTTGGTATTTACGGACCTGTGATCATCAGCAGCTTATCAAGCTCCTTTAGGATCTGGATCTGGAAAACTGAGGTCAAGCCAGGGATGTGGGTCAAAGAGTTCTTTATGACGTTGAGAGCATATAAACCCTCCTCCGAGCCGACTAAGACAATCTGCAGAAAGATGTGAGAATCATGTAAACTTAAAGAAAGCATTCAGAAGAAGAGATCCAATGCTGCACACTTATTTTATCCATATACCTGATCAGTGAGAGGAAGGGTACAGTTAATGTCCAAACGATCATCGCCCTCCAGCTTCAGCAGAGAATTCCCCAGAAGTTTCTATTGAGACAAGAAACAAGGAGACAACGAGACAGGTTAAAAATATCCTCCAGAAATGTGTTGCATTAAACAGCACAAAGATAATCAAGCAAAGATGGCAGCCAGAGCGCCGTTACAAGCAATACATTGGTGAAGCGTTCATATTGTGAGGCTGAATTTGCACATAAGCTGTGGACATCTGAACTAGACTAGTAATATGTGTACTTAAGACCAAATAAATCACTTTTTTTCTGGTTAGGCAAGATTTTGTATTTAATTTACTAGATTTGCTCGAAAACAGGGGTCAGCCGATATTTGACATTTTTTACATTTCGGCTAGGGCTGGGCAAAATGACCTAACATCAATATCACGATATACTGAGGATTTCACCTCGATAACGATAAATGGACGATAACTACAGGTATGCGCAGAAACAAAGTTGTCCATTAGATGGGGCTGTCATTACGTTGAGTCACATTTTTAGTGACTCAAGGTGGTGCAGCTTCTTAAAGGGACATGAAGGTTGCCAACCTACACAAATCTTTTCATTTTTTATTTATTAATTTTATTGGCATGGGAACAATTCTCATGATGAGAGTCAGAAATGTTGATAACAATAAATTTTCAATTCATTGCCCAGCCCTAATATCGGCATAGGCTAATGTACCTTAGTAAAGCCGATTTAAAGTCAGGCACATCCCCAGGCAGCCCAGAACTGCTGCCTAATTTAAGTGTATTTTTACATTCCTAAATAACATCTGCTTTAATTAATGCTCTTAAAATGAATGGACAAAACGGCCATCAGCTGACCATGACCTTTACATATTGGTATCGGCAATAGTAAAAACCAATACCGGTCGACCACCAGTCGAAAAGCATGCTACTTATATCATAGCCATGCAAACACTATACACTGGGACTGAATATGTGGACATTATTAAATTACCCAGACAAGTCTCCATTTGCTATTTTTCCCACTATACGAGTCTTTTTATGTGCTACTGAGCCACTAAAGGGCTGAGTCTGGGGGACAGCTGAAGTGAAAAAAACAAACAAAAAAAAACAACAACCCTGAATCAGTAAATCTGAGAATAAACTAATGTAGCAGCAACATGTATGAAACAGTTATGGATGGAAGGAGATGGAAATATGGATGTTATGTGCCAGTTTCAGCTAGAATGTAATTATTAAATATTTTTCTGTATTTCTAAACAATCAATAATAGGGGAAACATTTTCTTCTTCTTTTTTAAAATAGCTGACCGTTTCAGGATAATCCAAACTACACTGACATCTATAGTTGAAGGGAAATAAAAAAAATAAAAAATACACAAAAGCACCAACGGTCTGCTTTTACTTCAACAAAGGAGGCTTAAGCACAGCTTTTGCAGGAGCATGCAAGACAGCATAGGACACCAAGTGTAATGTGTGCAGCAGCCTGTTCAAATTTAAAAATCCTTGATTAATCCCAGAGGGTGTTAAGTGTTGTCATAACTCAAAGCCTAAATAAAAGTAAATACTAGCAATAAAGTTCATAAAGTAAAACCATTAAAAGTACATATCTATGTATTCAGTTTATAAATAAATAGTTTTTTTAGGGCAGCCTTTCCCATTGACCACATTTACTGTCTGACCCTGGACTCTGTTGAGTAACGTGCACCAGTGTCATATGCATACTTGTGAACAGCTAATGCATGCTCTGTCGGTCGGTCGACTGGAGCTCAAGCATTCGTGCAGCTTCTTACTGTACCTGAACCAGAGGAGCTAGGTTCTTCTGTCTTTTAGAAACACCTGCCTATGATATGATCCACATAATCAAGTCGAATGGACACACACACACACAGTCACACACAATCACACACAGTTTAATCACACGAAGACGACAAATAAACACGGGATGTAAATATTGAGAACATGCAGAGAAAGAGAAGGAGGAGAAAAGAAGTGAAGGTGCGGGCTGATGTTGAATGAAAACATTAAACATATCTAACCAATCTTATTTAAGGCAAAACTACAACCACTGAATTATGCTGTTATTTAAACTAATTACATGTGTAGTAAAGACTCAATAGCCTGTGGTTCTACCTCTTATATATATAAAAAAATCTGTTTAAGTTTGGAACTCCTGAAAGCGTGAAACAAAAAGAAATGAACTTGTGTTAAATGTGAAGACACTTACAGCATCAGCTTCAGCTCTGTCTTTAGATCCACGGCTACCAGCCACAACAGACTCCAGCACCGCCACCCAGCGCTGCTTATCGGGGAAGCTGGGAGCCATGAAGTAGAGCGTCTGTCCTGGCCAACATGTGGTGTGGGGATGAGATTCCAGCTTCAAAACATACGGGATGTCTGGACAGGAACAAACATGGATCCTCAGAGAAGACAGACTCAGATATGCCGAGTGGCATTCTCGTTGTTACCGATTCTGTACCTGACTTGGCAGTGTTGATCAGCTCAGAGGCACCGACAGCCCCGTGAACAGTCACCTCTCCATCTGGAAAACAGAGCTCAAACTCCTCTTCGGCCTTTACAGAGTCTAGAGAGGAACATATTTATACATTAGAAGTTTTTTGTGATTTATAGGGCAACGCGTAACATCAACTTAAAACCCTTGCATTGCTTGAAGGAGTGCGCAGCGCCCACTGACTTTCATGCCAGAGTTTTAAGCTAACATTGTTTTTATGTATAGAAAAGGAAATTTAAATAATGTTGCTCCTCACAATGTATTGCAAGACCAGACAGGGTCTGTTGACGCCATAAGTTGTAGGTTTACATCCAATAATCGGTTTTCTTAGTCTTATTAAAGTTTATTTGACGGCTCATGAGACGTTTTGCTGACAGACAAGAAGAGGACTGACCTTCTCTAGGCTCGTTATCGTAGATCGACAGTTTGGTTCCATCAAGAACCACGTATTTCCTCTCCCAGCCTTGCTGGCCACGCTTTCCATTTCTAAACAAAGAAATACAATTCTTAAAAACCACACCAGTAACAGTGTTGTTTATAACTCATGCTTAGTATGCCTGTGATAGACTTCATCGGTGGCAGACTGGTACCTCGGCTGCTTCATCCAGCCCTCCAAGCGAACATGCCCACTGGCCTCTTTGAACTGTAGTGCAGGTGAGTTGGTCTTCTCTCGGCACAAAGCCTCTGAAAAGTGAGTAGCATACTCAGCTGGCAGACCGCAGGTGGCTGGTAGACATGGTGAGCACTTAGGGTGGCACAAGGTGTGGCACTCTACAAAACAGCAAACTCTTGATTAGAGCACTTATTAGAAATCCTTTTGAAGATAAAAGAAGTAAAGGAACCTTTACACGTCAGATGTATTCTTAGAAGTAAGGGAGCAATATAGAAGAATGAAGTAAGGACATCCTGTGGTCAAATTTAGTTACTACAGTCCATTTTTCTGAGCAAAAAGTTGCTTTCTTGCTGCCGTTCCATGAGTTTCATGGCTGTTGCAAGTTACAGATCAGCACCAGAAGATTCTAGATGTCAAATGAAGACGAGTAATAAACAGTGAGTTGATAAGTAGATACATACATAATTATATCTGGTGTTTGCTCTCTTGAATGTTTTACGGTAGGGAGCAATTACTACACTTATTACGGTAAGACTTCCCCGCAGATAGAGGAAGTGTGGTAGTTTGCCATCTTGCTGCTATGGGTCTGAACGACTCATTAAAGGAAGTAAAACACCACGACTGACTTATTGTCTTCTTCACACAAACTTTTCATTGTAATATCGAGTTTTTGGTGTTTAAAAAAGTAGCTTGAGACATTTTTAGAGTTGACTATTTGCTTCTAATTTACCACTAGCATTGTTAGGTCAATGTTAGCCTCTAGCCTGCTTCACCTGATTTAAAAATAAAGCAAAATGATGCTGTGGCTTCTTAGAGGTACAAGGAATAACTTCTGGGTCGCTCCTGTTTACTGGATTAAGTTCTTTAAACAACTCTTTAAACAACTCTGGAGCTTTCTGCCTGCCAGGGTCGAATTGCATTAGCTCAGACACTGTACCTCACAGGCTCACTGATCGTAAACATTTTTAAAAGGAGAAAAACCGACAACCCTCCAACTGGCTGAGAATTTAATCTGTTTCATTGTAACCTTCCTTCCAACATGATTGATACATTAAGACTGTTTTGTGATTATTTCACTGTAGGGTTTTCTCACATATTGTTCCTTTAAATATGACACATTCTCCCAAATAATTTCTTCTGCTGCTCTCATAATTAATTAATTAGTCATTATAACAAGAAGAGTTTCATTCTAAAAATACACTACTGATCTGAGAATTTATCAAATTGGCCCAGGAAAGGACCCAAGAGACAAATCTAATCCATCTATTTGACGACCGTAACAGGAACAATTTTTCATCTTTGTCGTGCCTGGCCAATAAAATGTCCTCAGAAATATTTCCCTATTCCATCTGCCCACCCACTGGGCATGATACAGACCTAAACAAGTGGCAGCCTGTCGTCCAAAATGAACAGTGTCCAGGCAGACCGCACATTTAGCAGCCCTCATGTTGAGGCCCACAGTGAAGCGATGAGGGATGTTATGATGCATTCTTTCTTTCACACGACGTCCAAACTCTGCAACGAAAGGAGGGTAGAAGAAGTGCACAGAGACGAGAGTTACTAAGAGAGTGAAATGTGGCACAGTAATGGTCAGTTATGGGATTAATCACTGCAGCAGCCAGCAAAGACTAGTCTTAGATGGATTATTGTCAAGCAGCATGGGAAAATTATCTGAATTGCCGGTATTGCATATGTATAAATGAGCGTTCCAGGACCTTAAAACGGTCAAATCAAAATCTGATTGCACATGCTAGTAAGCATTAAATGTATTAAATGCCTCAGAGAGAAAGTATACTGCAGGATAATTAGGGTATCTATATCACAACTCCATAAATGAGACATTGAGAAAAGAGACAAGAACATTATGTCAAAGGTGGGCATTAAGAAAAGAGTCTGGTTTAGTTACAGAGAGCCAACAAACAGTAAAACACGTAGCCGATGTGATGATGGGCAGGTTTCAGCACAGGGTCACATGCATGTCCGGGAGATGAGCTCTGGTGAATGTAAACACAAGCTAGTGACTGCTAACTTACTTTCAAACGTGACCCTCCTCTTTTCTGTGAGGAGCAAGAGGAAAGAGACACAAAGAAGAAGGCAGTCCAACAAAAGCTAAGTGTGAATAACATCACAGGGACGGTACGAGCCTGCTTCACAAAGCGGGTTCAGCTCAAGACTAAATGGTTTCTTATTAGTCAGTGTTGACCGTTTCACTTCCACACGATGCAGATACTTTTGTGTCAGAGGGGATTTTGTAAGTGCATTTTTACACTGACACAACCTAACAGACAGTTCTAGTATAAGGTGTAAAAAGTTCAGTTTCCATGGCGATCAACTCTAAACATTTGTTTCGGCTTAATGATGTAGGTGAGCCTGGATAAATGGAAACACTGTGGGTTTAATCAGCCGCTGCTTTTTGAGACATGACTAAAAATGCTACGATTTTAATAATAATATAAAAAAAGGTTTGTTTTTGTTTTGTGTACTTCATGTTGCTGGAGTGAATTCCTGGATTAACACATTCCGAGTGTTGTCCAAAAACTATTTGACTTGCTAAACCTGCTTTGTGAAAACAGCTTTTGAAAAACTACACACAAAACACACAACACAAACAAAACAGGTGACCAAGGAGTCCATTTGTTAGCGTCAGGTTGAATGTTCCTATAGGGAAAATTGTAAATCAAGAGTTCAAGCTATTCCTGATTAGAGTGTTTTTTTTTTATATTTTAGTGTTGCATATTCGACCAACCTTCAGGCGTAGAGGTCTCTTTGCAGCGAGTGGAAGGGTTCAGTAGACTGCTGGGGTTGGGTTGATGCTCTGGTGATTTAACGATGGCCGACATGAGGATTTGGTGCCGAGCCTGGGCTGGAGTGGAAGGAGCCACATGCTCCTGGGCTTTGAAATGAGCCGCTGTGTAACCCCCAAAAAACAAAACAATTAAAAAACATGTCTGGAAAATATTTGATGCAATGTGTCCCATTATCAGTTTTGTACAACTCATAATATTTTAATGAGAAATAAAAGCCCAACCACGCAAAGAGGTAACGGCTCCTTGTTTCAATGTAGTAAATGCAATAAAACACATAGTTTAGGTAACATGGTCTTTGTTACTTAGCTGCAAGGCAACACATTTCTTTTGTCATGAATTATTTTTTATTAGAAACATTGAATTTAATATAACATACTTCACACTCATGAACAACATTCCCACTTATAACATTATACTTAACCTCCAAATCATCCACCCATTCTCCAGTGTTCACCAGTCAGTCTATTGTATCGTTAATCTGAAAGTAGCCTCTTAAGTCCATCTAAGATCGCGTGGTATCTGAAGTGGCATTACTGACCATTGCTACTGAAAGTTCCATATAGGCAATGTTCATATAAACTTGAAGCCAGTGCACAAAACAAGTTGTTAGCCATTTTCTGCCTGAGCAATGATTTTCTTCATTGCAGTCAAATCTGCAAGCCAGACTCCTCGGGTTTTCTCCGTACGCGATACTCGCGAGTCATCAATTAATAAGTGATCAACAGGATCCAGGGGGAAAGGGACACAAGACCATTATAACACAGAGGTCCTGAAGCCCAGGACATTCCCATACAACATGAATAAACAAGCCCAGAGTCCCAGAGGAACAAAATGAGCAAACAGGATCTGATGCAGAACTCATTTTGTGTTCAATAATTGGTGTCAGAAGAGCTCTGGGACAAAACTTCTTAAGAAACGTCCAGCAATGGTCAGTTTTTAGGTACAGTTTGACCATTCAACATCTGGTCAAAATGGAGACACGAGACTGCATGTGTTCCCTTTAAATCAGCCTGCCTTCATCCCATCAGCTGGAGCTCAGAGCCTCTCTGCAGCTCTGAACACATGATAACGTATAGTCAACAATAATGTTCTCTCCTCAAGGTTTAAGCTTCCCTTATTGTCCTACAGGATTCGTCATGCCTCTAAATAAGGAACACTCGCAGCTCAGATTAGTTGCTAAATCAAAGAATGATTCCTTAAATTAAATATGAACTTTTAAAACTTTTAATAATCATTAAATAAACTTTTGTTTATTGCTACTTATAATAATTATAAAATAATGAAATGCTTTCATTAATCTGTGCTTCAATGATTGAAGTTTGAAATGAATGTTATGTTATGATTACAGTGATTGAAATACATTTCAGCATGTTTATATGACAAGGTCATAACCATTTGCACTCACACAAGGACAAAGTAAGGTTAAGTTAAACGCTTGACACATAAATAGCCCTTTACCCCAGATCAGAGCATCCGGATCAAAGAAGGCATGTTTCTAAGTTGTCTTGGTAATATTCCTCAACTTGTCAACCTCTGGTTGGCTACACAAATCATAACATGAGAACATTAAAACTGGATCACTCTGGTGATTCATCAGTTCTAGAGAAAGCTTCAGACCGGCCATCTGAAGCAAAATCCTCTTTAACCATCAAAGCTTTTGACACGTCGTCAAAATCTTTTTGCACCTGCGAAGCTGATAAAGCAAACAGTTCCTGCAGAACAAGCTGATCTTGTTTAGACTCCTTCAGAGTCCCAGATGCGCGGTTCCATCCGTCTGTTGTGACCCGGAGACAACTCTAAGACCGGACTAGTAGTGCCGCAGTTTCTTCTACGGACCTCGGTGCCTGGAAGTCCGAGGACTTCGACATTCCGGATCTATCACGAGGATCTTCGAGTGGGTATGTAGACATGACAGATTGCGTCGGATGTGTTTTTGATAATAATCAACTTCATAGCTTAACGCAACCAAATTCTTTTACATCCAGAACTCAGCTCTCCTAGATACGGAAGTTCTGATAACATCGCATTCACACATAGGTTTCATACATCACATCTAGTTCCATCCATCACAGTAAATCTTAGTTAACCTGTCATGTTTTAATTGTTTGTAAAATAAATTCTTACTTTTATAAACCTGACTCTTTTCTCAATCAAAACGAAGTGTGTGCAATCCCTTAATGAATAAAGAATCCTAGAATCTTCTGATAAACACAGTAAAGACCAAGCAGGGTTGATATTCTATATTTAGATAGAGCATCACAGCTTATTGGTCATAAGTAGAGGTAATATATATTGAGCTCTTAAAGCACTCAATTTCCTAACCCCACATTAAGTATATCGATGATTGGGTTTTTTGTGGCTGTCATCTTCCCAGGCTTTCCTAACAATTTTATAAAGAGGATAGTTAGCTTTTTAATATAAATCGAGATCAGCCAATATACCTCTTTAGTAGAGCCGATTTAGTCAGGCACATCTGCGAGCAGCCCGATGCTGCTGTCAAATTGTATGTAAATGTATGTTAATGTTGCTGAGAAACATCTGCTTAATAAATGCTCCAACATTATTGTGAACTGACATTCCTTTATAACTTCTTTATTTATTTACTCGTTTTATATTTAATACTTGTTCAGTTTATTGATTTGTTTCATTGTTATACAATCACACAGTGCACAAATTTAAGATTTAACAGTTAATAAAATTCAGAGTTCAAAATCTGATTAAAGTTCAGAAACACATCCTCTGTTATTATTAGTGACATTTTAGCAAATAAGGCAGAAAAAGATATCAGCTATTAAAAATCATCCCCAAAAAATCAGAAGCGTCGGCCATTGGCGGACCTTCACCTCTAGATATTGACATCAGCTATAGAAAAACCCATACTAGTCTAGTTCTTACCTTCTTCTCTAAGAGTTCGTAACTCTATCCTCATCTTCATCAGAGCTTCTTCTAGCTCTGAACATCTTGAGCGCTCCTTGTCTAAAGCCAGCTTCATGTCACCGTACTGCATGGGAACAGCTGGCTGAGCCTGTTGAGCCAAGGCTCCATTAGTGGTGGTGCCGACATCTTCCTTCTTCCGCCCAAATATACCCTGTACAGGCAGAAAACGGTGATGAATTTGTACTAATTCATACATTAGATCAAATGTTTTTACAGTAAAAATCTTTCCCTTGGAGCCTATTATTAACCTAATATGGTTTGTACATAATTGCTACATATTTTCCCAGACCTTCTTTTTTTTGGTGGGCTGGTCCATCTTGGCCTGCAGGAAGTCGATGAGTTTGGTCTGTTGGGAGATGGTCCCTTCCATCTTCACCTTCTCATGGGAGTATACAGCCTACAGCAGCACGGAAATCGGAAGCTCAGAGAAGGAAATGCTGGAGACAACTTAAAAAGAGAAGTCCCTTTGGGAACACATGAATCAGGTTTTATCATCATCATCCAGCTGAGATCTCCTTTACTTGCCAACATCAGTTACACAATTTTAATATATAACTGGGAGAATTTCCCTCCCTTGAGAGACCACCGTATTCCATCTGAAAATGAAGGAAATACACCAAACACCTGTATATTTTCTAGCTGGTACTCCAGATCGGTCCTCTCCGTTTTCAGCATATCCGTTTGGTCGAGGGCATCCTGAAGACCTTGAGTCAGACGGAAAATGTGACTTTTCTGGAGGTCCATCTGCTGCTGAAGCTTTCCTTGCTGTGGAGACACAATTTAATCAAAACAAGAAAGAAAACCTGATTTTGACCACTTCTGAATAGTAACACAATCTATTGCATTAAATGGAGATGCACCCCAAACAGACGTCCTGATTATACTTCATACCTCTTCCATCAGCCTCTGTTTCAGTTCTCTCTCCGTCTCAAGTTTCTGCTGTAGGCTGCGGGCGTTCATCTCTAGCATGGCGTGCTTCTTCTCCAGATCATTGAGCTGTGATAACATGTGAGTGTGTGTCAGTTGGTGACACAAGCCAGCCATGAACACATTTTATAAAATAGGATTGCAGCGGCAGAGAAAGCTGAACTTACAGGAACCTTAAAAACTCACAGCTAGAGTTAGAGACGGGCAAATAAAGAGGTAATCTTCATCCGTCTGAGATGTTGGTGAAAATGTATCAAGTGCAAAATAAATAAAAAATAAATAATCGCAATAACAAATGACAAAATTAGGAATGTGCTGCAAAAGCAATAAGAAAAGAGTTTTCAGGGCCCAAAAGGTGACAAAGTGATTTAAATATTTTATGTTTCTCATCTATTCCATCATTGTTGGACTTCTGCAGTCTGAGCTATTTAAGGGATTTCACCTGAAGTTTGAACAAACAGTATTTGCATGAAACATTTTATGCCCCTTATAAGTTGTAGTGTATTTTTATTTAATTTCATTTAAGCCTTAGTTTAGAACTCTCTCTATCGTATAAAACTAATCTTGATTAATTCAGAAGTGTAAAGAAGGGTTAAAGGTAAATGTGACAAACTCACAGTATCAGAAAGACTTTCAGCCTTCAGTCTTTGCTCCTTCAAAGCCTGCTGTAGGGCCAGAATCTCTGCCTTATGCTCTTTGACTGCCAGCTCTACAGCCTGTCGAGACTCAGTGCTGCGCTGTTCCGCACGAAGCCTAAAAGAAAAATAGCAAAACATTATGTCACGTTGCTGCAATGTTTTATGTGCTACAATTGTTTGTTAAAGCATAAAAATAATCTAAATATTACCTGTTTTGCTTCTCATTATCCAGGAGTCTCTGCAGGTCCCGGGTGCGTCTTTCAGCTTGAGTTTTTTCATCCTCCAGAGCACCTCTCCATGCCTCCCACTGCCTCTCCTTCTCCAGCAACTCGTCGTTTAGAGACTCCAGCTCCACCACCTGCTCCTCCAACATGCTGCATGTTGTCTTCAGTGTCTCGATGTTCTGGGACCAGAAACGAAAGGACAGACTGAAGGGAACATCTTTCAAAGCTTTTGGCAGCACCACATGATTATTGTCTGCAGTTTCACATGGTTTAAATGACATGTAGCTATTTTAATAACATGTCATTTTTGTGGGCTCAGCTACTTTTAATTGCATTGCTGATAACATCTTTGCACCTTGTCTACTATCTGAGGAAAAGTGTTTAATACCTGTTTCTGGTTGTTGAGGTGCATCTCACGGTCAGCCACCTCCCTCCTGAGGCGGTCCACCTCCTGGCTGAGCTGCAGCTTATCCTCCCGTTCGTCTGAAGCTTCATCGAGTTGTTTTGACAAGTAGAAGTTTTGGCGGTTCAACTCGGCGTTCTCCTGACTCAGCTGGGTAAGCTGCTCCTCCAGGTCAGTGATCACCTGAGGCAAAACAAACAGGCAGAGCGGTTAGCTTAGCAAAACAGTCAAGGCTCACAAAGGAATCAGTAATGTGCTGTGCTATTGTATTTGAGTTCACCAAAATGATCTGGAGGAGACAAACTCTCACAATGGAATTAGAAATCCTGCACCATCGAAGGTTTTACAGAAGAGAAGAGAGACTTACTGAGCAACTGTCTCTTAAGGCATCAAATTTGCGCTGAATCTCATCTCTGTGGTTCTGCGAGAATCAGATCAGGAGCAAATAAATAGCAAAAACAAAACAAAGTTTAATTACAACATGTTATAAGAAATGACGCATTTCTACAACAGTTTTAAAAGATAAACAATGTTAAAAATGCATGCATATTTGGACTACATCTACAATAACAATAAACATGCCTCATTAGGATATTTTACCTCATCTCATCTCTCCAAACATGAAAAAAAACTTAGTGACAGTCTAACCATTTGCAAACTTACAACTAACACGTCAACACTTCTGGAACGATTGCTTTCAACTCAGGACAGAAGAGATCGGAACCATCTCTGAAAGCATTTTGAATGTGTAAACCCCTCCTACCCTCAGTGCGGTGATCTCCTCTTCAGCCTCAGCAGTAGTCTCTTCCAGCTCGGTCTTAGCTTGCTGTAGCTGACTCTCCAGAGCAAGGCGGGCAGCCTGCAGACTGCTGATCTGGGACTCACGCTCTTGCAAAGACAAGGTCAACTCAGACACCTGTCTTTTGATCTCCAGCTTCTCTTCTTCATGTTCTAGGCCCATCTGCAAGCAGAAGAAAGTTCGAGAGACTGGTGACTTTATAATATTAAACCAGGTGATTTAAAACAACAGTACCATGGTTGGTAAAAAAATATATACATCCCAGTTTATTTAATCTTTAGATTTTGGAGTCAAACAGAAAGAAAAATAAAATAAGGAGCTTAATTAGGGACATCAAGCCACTAGTTCAGTCAGATTTAGAATTACATAACCACTTTATGCTCCAACATATCCAGATGCATTTAGATGCTGTGTAAATGAAACCAAATAGCCAATTATATTTGATGGTACATCATATGTTTATGTGCGAAAACAGTGCATGTGTGCATGTGTGTGTGTGAGTGTGTGTGTGTGTGTGTTAGGGGACATTGAGGCCAGCAATTAGTGCCAATCTGTATATCACGTCTCAGTGGTTAAGAGTGTGAGGAGGTAGAAACATGACAACAGGCTGTCAACCAGGAACATCAGCAGACAAACTCAAGAAAAAGGAGAGACTGCAGTCCTCATGTCAAAATGGGTCTTATAATGTTGATTTGCATGAGGCATAATAGATTTTTAGTTTTGAAACAGATTTATGTAAAACTCCAGAACTGAGTTTACTGCTTTATCAGATATGAAGAGTATACCGTTCGCTGGACAAGAATAAAGAAAATCCTTAGTAATCTGGGTACGGCTGCCATTTTTAGACCTGTATTTAATTAGCTGCGTATATGAAAGCTGCCTAAGCTAGCTTGCTGATCAGCTGCCTTAATCCCTTTTCCTGATGGTAATGATGTCAGGCAGAATCTGTGCTGGCTTAAGTGAATTACTTAATCTTGATCTTTATCGATTCAGCACCATCTCTTTGCCTCCTGCTGCCTCACCTCCCGTAACCGGCTCTCCAGCTCCATCAGCCGGCTTCTCCTGGTTTGCTCCTGCTGACTCATCTTCTCCAGGTGTTCTTCTAGTTTGGCATTCTGGGCCTCAAGCTTACCTGCTTGAGATTCCAAATAAAACTTTTGCTGTCGGAGTTCTGAGATCATCTCCTCCTGGGCTTTCCTGACACCCCAAAAAGAAATGTCACATTTTACTTAAAAAGGAACAATAGAATCCACAACATGTATTCATTGTTTATCAGAATAGTTTGACTTAATGTGAGTTAAAACAGTTTTTAATCTAATTAAACCAAGTGAAAATACAGTTGACACATATGCTAAATATAATCCAGCCACTGTGCATGAAAATGTTGCACAAGCTAATGAAGCAATTAAAGTCAAAATGTGTATAAGGGCTTTTGGGGGGCAGTTTGCGTACATATTCTTCTGGGTGTAGATGCTGCTGTTAGCGGCCAGCTTATTAGCCTCTGACAGCTCAGCTATGCGCTGTTCCAGGTTCTTCATCTTGGAATCCATAGCATTGATGGTCTGTTGGAGGAGAAAACATAAAAACGACCCAATATGTTTGTTTTTGTTATTACCAAACCTGTCAGGAACTTTACAGATATCTAAAGGGATATATTGAACCGAAGTACAATTTCTGGTAAAATCTATAAATAACAACCATCTTACAGCTTGTAGATGGGTGTCCTGAATGGCTTATGTTCAGAGAAATGGAAATAAACTAGTTGTCTGTAAGACCAAACCAGACAGCTGCCCTTTTGAAATAGCTCCAGACTAATTCTCATTGGTTCATGCAAACATTTACTAAACCTTTACAGTGTTACTAGTTTCATGTTATACAGTGATTTCTGACCCCTGGTTGCACTGGAGGAGCCACATTTAGCTGCAGCTGGTGGACATTCACTCCTGTTAATAATCTTGGAATCCCATATAAATGTAATCTGGAATAAAAATCGTTGCATGGACGGTCGGGAAATTCTGGGAATTTGAACTGCTTCAAGGGGGTGCTTTGGTCTTGGCTGTCAAGGCTTATGCTGATGCTATTTATTCAAATAGAGGCTGTTCAGGAAGCTATTGAGCGCGGGTAAGTAAATATCCCATTAAGCTGATTGACCCTGATTTTAGTTAAACAAAATCCTTTCAGGATCCATTTAGGTGTTGCCCGACATGTTTACCATCATGGCCAGATAAATACCTCTAAATGTTCCTTAACGGCTTCAATCTAACACATTAACCAGATTAGACGGCTTAATCCCAGGCTTCACAGAGTAATAAAAATATCTGCTAAACTAACTGGTCTACTTCTAAAGTACATTTCAACACAGTCACACCAGGCAAAAGGAAAAATGAAGAAATCAGAAGAAATCCAAATGAGCTTTGTGTCTTACTTCAGACAATAATTAAAAGGTCTTGTTGACTTACTGCTTTCTGTTCACTGATGAGTTTACAGTTCTCCCTTGACTCCTCCTCCTGCTGCGCCCTCTTCGTCTCGAGGCTCTCCTTCTCTGTCAGGTCCGCCTTCATCTGCGTTTCCAGGACCTGATCGGTCAGAGCCCACCAACATCAGACGTGTCAGACTTCATTTAACAAATTCACACTTGGGCTGTAACCAGTAATTTGCTCCAAGATAAAGCGATCCTTCGTGACAAGATTGTAAATGTACAAAGCAGTAAGGAAACTTTAATTAGTGCTGTTGGTTGTTTTTGTAAAAACACGCAACAGCTCTGACTTCCTTCAGCAAAAACACAGATTTAATGTGTCATGACTGGCGAGGGGTGACTTCATGAAAAACATTAAGATGACCCACCTTGATCTTATCTTCAAAAAG